GGGGGCATCAGGATCGGCGCCCAAGCTTATTTTTTATATCAAGCATCCTTTCACGATCGAAATTGATGATTTTGATCCATTGTCGCCATTGGCTAAAGAGTTTTGCGCGTTTGTTGATAATGGGATGGATACGAGGCGAAGGTATCTTCACTTTCTTTAATCTTTCATGTTCTGATTTTATACTTGTCAATGAATGTAGTTCTGATTACTTTTTATTTTTTGTGATTTGAAGTGCCAAAAATATATATCCCGATGAAGTAAATAAGCTTGCGGAAGCTTTTACTTTTGGCTCGTGTAATGTGGCCACGAAGGATTGGTTCCACTCACTTACATATTGTGGTCGGCCTTTCATTGACACGGTATTTAATAAATTTATGCTCTAATGCCTTTTTTTGTTTGTTGCATATCTTTATTATTTGAGATCCCCATGGTGTATACATAGCCTTGTATAATCACGGTATAAGATTATAAGATTGTATAACCTTGTATAAATATGTATACCTCTGTATAATAGTGTATAAATTTCTATATTAAAAAAATCTGGTAGTGATGGTTGTTCTGTTTTATTTCTTGTTTCAGCACTTGGATGTCCTCTTTTATTATTTGAGGAAGAGGGGAAAATATGGGCCGAGTGTTGCCATGCGGTTTACTACAACCGACTTTGCCTTTGGTAACAAAATCAACTCCCTGTATAAAGATTTCAAAGTGAATCAAGATCCTTCAGTGATTCCTGAAGGGCATGAGATAGAAGAGTACATTAGAGGATATTATTGTGATGCAAATGTCCCGTGGCACACTGTTGACCACGTCTTATTCCCTATCTATGTGAAGCGCGGAAGAGCAAAATTGGGCCATTGGGTTTTGGGGGTGTTTACGTTCATAGATAGGTGCATCCACATCTATGATTCTAATCGTGGAGCTATTAATGATAGACTTGCTTTGGATGCTGCTTTGCCTTATACAGTTCTAATACCTTACTTCTTGAAGAGTTCTGATTTTTATGTCGAGAAGAAGGGAATTGATTGGAACAATGGTGCATATACTGATAAATCCCATTCTGATGCTTTGCAGATTAATCTGGTTAATAATGTTCCCCAACAGATCAAATAGTAGGTTAATCTCAATTGTTTTACTATTTTACTATTAGTTTACCTATTTGAATCTGATTTTTTCTTTTTAATTACAGTGATTGTGGTGCTTTTGCTGGCTTTGCTGAGTATTTCATCCTTGGTAAGGAAATTCGAAAAGATAATTTTGACATTGAGACACTTCGCACCAGGTGGGGATCTCTGTTGTGGGATTATGGAAGGAAAAAACAACAGTCCGGTGCAATTAGTGGTGATTCAAATCACAGGGAGACTTTTCAGGAAGAGAAAGAGGGGGCAACCGAGAAAGTAGTTCTGTTTTTTCCATTTTACTATAGTTTTTCTATGTATCAGGAGTTGTTGCCTAGTTTTGTCTAAGTATTATTCTGCTACTTATGAGATAACCTTAAAGGATATTATAGATGTTTTTATTTTTGTGTAATTTGTGGTAGTCATTACACTTTGTGGCTGTGAATGAATTACATTTTAATGAATATTTCAGTTGCTTTTGTCCTTTAACAAAGTATGTATTTTCATTATGGTTGCAGTTTTGTTAATGTAGCAGGGTTTATACATATATATACAATAATATACATAGTTATACTAATTTATACAAACTTATACTCTCATTTATACATCTTTATACATATAATACCATTGATTGTTAGCAGTTCTACTTTGTATTTCTATAATCTATCAATATATTTAGTACCATTAAAAACAGTAAGACACTATTATTGGATAATCAAAACATGTATAATGAAACATGTTAATTGCTTGTGAAACTTAACTACTCAACATTTGTAACTCTATTGTTTGTGAAACTTAACTACTCAACATGACAACAAATGTAATAGGAAGTGTTATGTTTTCAACTATTTATTTTGGTCGATTCCTACATGTTTTTCTATTGTGACCACCTTGTCCACACACAGAACATGAAAACGCCTTCTTAGACTCTTTCTCTGAAGCAGGTTTGAGTCTTTCCTTTCTTGGCCTTCCTATATTCCTTCTCCCTTTAGGTGGTAGGACCACATCTTCCATCACCTCTGTTGGGATTACCCATAAACTCTCATGTGGCATCGGATTCACTGGAAATTCATAAGTTCTAAGGAGTTTATCCTTCTTGTAGTAAAAAGAGCAATACTGGCCAGGTTTCAGCTGCTGGTTCTTCAAAACCGCCCAAGCATGCGGACATGGAAGTTCATCCATTTGAAATTTTCCGCAACTGCATGTCCCCTCTTCAAGGCACACTATGTCTCGCCTTACCCCTTCAAACACAGTATATAATTGCTCCGTAGCAGGCCTCACCTGCAAAAGTTTTTTTTTTAAAAAAGTTAAAGAACATTATACATTATTATACAGAGTTATACATCCTTATACAAGCAGTAAAATGCAAGTCAGCAGTGCCAAGCATCATTATATTTGATTCATTTACTGTCATTTGCTCCGAGGCAATCAGATTTTCCCGAAGGAGTTTGTCGTACTTTTCGCCAAGATCTGTAGATGTCTCCATTGCACTTTTTCTGTTTTTGTCGTTCCACTGTTGTAGCAAATTTGTCATGTGCTCCAGCAATCGCATTACTGGTAACTCTCTAGCATCCTCGTTTGCTGCATTAATTGACTCTGCAATATTGGAAGTCATTACCATCGACCTTTTCACTTTGGAATATGCCCTAGACCACCTTTCGTAGCCAATTTCGAATAAGTAAGGCTGCACTCTCGGATCAATTTTGCACATCTCTGTCATATGGTACTCAAACTTCTCTATCGTGTAAGCTCTAGCCAAAGCAAAGAAGATATCCTTCAATTGTTTGTGATGTTTCTTGAATGTGCGCTTTACATTCTGCCACAAGTGAAACATGCAAATACAATGTGGTACTTCTGGGTACACAACTTTTGTGGCATTGAAGATGCTTTCATTTCTATCTGAAACTATACACATCCTTTCCCTAACTCCAAAAGTACCCTTTATCTGGACAAAGAACCACTCCTAAGATTTGTTATTCTCTGAATCTACAATTGCATATGCAAGTGGAAGGATTTTTCCTGTTTATACAAAATAGATATTAGGATTCAGACAATTATACAAATCTTACACACAATTATACAATTTTATACCAACTGCAAATTTTATAAAAACAGCAGCTGTGAAATCCTATACACTTTTATACATGAAACTACAATATTATACAAACTGCAGAAACAAGGTAGATGCAGTCAACTCACCAGCTCCATCCTGTGTGCAAGCAGTCAATATGGTACCCTTATATGCTGCTTTAAAGAAACTTCTGTCAACAACCATTATCGGTCTGCAATGCTCCCAGCCCTTGATAGATGCATATAGCGAAACATATGCATAAAGAAAGCATCCATCTTCTGATTTGTGTAACTTTGTAACCGTTCCTGGATTTGTTTGCTCCAACATATAAAAATACTTTGGCAACTCCTTATATGAATCACTCGGACTCCCTCTTATCATTGCCATTGCTATCTCTTTAGCTCTCCATGCTTTCATGTAGCTTACCTCAATTCCGTGTTGCTTTTGTATGTCCTCTATTATATCATTTGCGGTGTAAACTTTTTTTGGATTAACATACTTGTCCTTGACTATACTAGCAATTACACCCGAAGTAGCTTGACGTTGTGTTAAGTATCTTTCACCATAGCCGCATGTGTGATTATTATTGTAACTTCTCACTTTGAATATGTTTTCCTTGAAAACGGCAGAAGATTTGAAACTCCAAGCACAATTTTCATCCATACACATAAGGTGATACCTAGGATTAAAGATCATTCAACTTCTAAATACACTTGTATACAAAAACATAACTACATATATACTAATTTTAATACCTAGATACAAATATATACTACTTCATACATATTTATACATATATATAACAGAATATACAATTATTTACATACCTTGTTGCGCTTGATCTCTTCACCTTGAATTGGAACCTTTCACGTACAGCCAAGTTCTTCATCACACTGACAACTGTCTCTTTATCCTTATAAATTTGATCTTCCTCAACAAATTCGTTCAATATATCATCTATTATACCCGTGTTTTCACTAAATTTCGTGTTTTCAATAAATTTAATATCAATAATCTCAGTGCTATCAATTGTTGATACATCTCTAGAATCTGAACTTGTACCAACCAAACAGCTGGAACTTGTAGCAACTACACAACTAGAACTTGTAGGAACCAAACGATTTTCATATATCTCTTTCACTGTCACAAACAAAGGATATTCAGTGAAATTCAAGTTTTTCTACTTTAATTCGATATACACCTTCACACCTGTATCGTTGTAAATCAGGATCGGTGGCAAACCAACATTTGGGAGAAAGTTAATCTCTATTATGTTTAACTCACTGTCGATCCTAATCTGTAGGGGTGTTCAAAACCGATCCGAAATCGAAAACCGAACCGAACCGAAGCTTAGCTTACTGGTAACGGCTTAACGGCTTAACGGACGGGGAACGAATTGAAATTTTTTTATTAACGGCTTATCGGTTTGGGGGCGAATTATTCAATAATGAGTCCAGTAATGGAATATAGAATTGATCAAATTTTGCTAAATAGGAGTATAGGAATATATTCAATTTAACTGGAAGAAGAAGTAGAATAAAAAGTTTCTGATTTATTACAACACTAACAAAGATAGAAGAAATTGATTCATTATCTATTACTTCCGGAGCAAAATGACATACATAAATTGCTTATATTTTATGAACATTAATTAGATGAAATAACAGATCCGTCCCCGAGAAATTAATGAGACTAGACCTGGCTTCTCTTGTAGAATTAGTGCAATACAATTTCTGCGATTGAGGGAAAGTTGGGAAAGCTAAAGAAAAAAGGAACACACGTTTCACAAACCTTAATGATTTCAAGAGGAAGCTGTTGTCGAAGAGAAGCACAAAGAGCAGCCATTTCTTGTCTTCTTTATTAAACCGAAGTCATGTCAAGTCCTAATTTTTTTGCTTATTTTCCTTCTTCTGGTAGTACTGCTGGATTCCTAGAATCATTGATAATTTTGCTAGGCCGATAAACCGCCCGATAACCGCCCGATAAGAGCTAAACCGATACCAATCCGCCCGATACCTTATCGGGCGGCTAGCGGATTAATACATTTAAAAGCCGATAACTGATAAGCCAAACCGTTAAGAGTAAATAACCGCCCAATCCGCCCGATAAGAAGCCCTACTAATCTGTTCCGAAATAGCTGCAACTAAATTGTTGTAGGTGAATGTCGACTCGATTATTACACAATCGCTGACGAAATTGATAAACTTGTTTTCTTCCCATTCACCACTATGAAGAACGTAAACTGGAAAAATCTCCATCGAACAAAAAATGGAAATCAAAATTGAAGCAAAAACTTAAATTGCGCTGATTTGCAGCAAACAAATTTTACTTTTCGTATTTAATTTGTTGTTAATTCGAGATGAAGAAGAAATTCTAGGGTTTTTGGAGCTGCATACACGGGAAGATCTCGTTTTTGAAGTATTTGGGGAAGAAGATTGGAAAGAATCTGAGAAAATGCAGAAAATCCCGCTTTTTACTCCCAAAAAAACGGAATTAACGCTCCTTTTTCAGATATGGGCCTATAATTTTTGGACTACTCAATTATAAATTGAAATATGAGCTATAAAGCTGAAAAGAGGCAGCCCAATTGTTTTAATATGAAATTTTTCCGAAAAAAAACTCAAACCACACGTCATTATTAGAGGTAAATATAATTCCACCATAACAACTACTCCTATGTCATTGGAATTGTTTCTTTAATTAGATTTTGATCGATCTTTATCATCAATTTTGCATCAATCTTAACATCCAACTGGGCTTTCTCCACCAAATCAAATTGGACTGATCAGTGACAGTTAGGGATGGCAATGAGACGGTGCGGGTACAAGGCGGTGCAAGTTTGAGACTATGCGGGACAGGGCGGGTTTGTACATGTGCAGGTGGGACGCGGGGCGGGGTGGGTTGATTTTGCTTAAAAGAAATTCTTGCGGGTTGCGGGCGGGTGCGGGTCAATTTTTCCTACTGTACATTTGGTTACTCGCATGAATCTTTTCTTCGGGCTTTTCAACCGGTTGCTTATACGATTTTCTTTTTAAATTTTTACTTGGATCATTATATTGTGTTGTCATTAATTTCTAAATATTTTTATCTTTTTTTTCTTGCTTCAATCTGAATACCTTTGATTATTATATAAATCCGAAATATTCGAAAATGACATTAAACAGTAGAGGAACTTCACTATTCCTATATATTAACTACTTTGACTTTTCTAGAATATTTGACCCTCTCAAAAAAAAAAATTGTTTTCCTCTATTCTCCATACCGTGAGACTTGAGAGTGCTCTTTGTCAATCATAAAAATGCATCTTTGAAGCTTTTCATGTTATGGAGGAGATCTACATATACTGCTGTTGAAAAATCCAGTTATGTTACTCAGTTTTGCATTTATTTAGTTATGGGCATAAATTCCTTTTCCTTACTCTACTGGGAGTTTCATTTAATTTGTTGTTTGTGGCTTGAATTATTTCCTTGTAAATTTAGGAAACCCATAATCCCTATAGGTTTAGAAAAACCCATTGTCTTAATAGATTTGGGAAAGGAAAACCTATAGTCCTTGTCAAATTGGAAAACCTTTCTCTGATATGTTTGGGACCTTTTGGAATCTATATATAGGGGTTGTACTAGGGGATTCTAGAGATTGTACTGTGCTTTTCTTCTCATTCATAGTGAAAACTCTCTCTGCTTTTGCCCCGAGGATTAGGCTTAGCTGAACCTCGTCAAATCTTTTATTGATTTTTCTTCTCTATTTGCTTTGTGTGTGATTGTGTGCTAGTTAACGCACGATATTTCGCAATAATTGGTATCAAATTGGGAAACCTTTCTCTTATATATTTGGGACCTTTTGGGATCTATATATAGGGGTTGTAGTTGGGGATTCTAGAGATTGTACTGTATTTTTCTTCTCATTCATAGTGGAAAACTCTCTCTGCTTTAGCCCCGAGGATTAGGCTTAGCCGAACCTCGTTAAATCTTGTGTTGATTTTTCTTCTCTATTTGCTTTGTGTGTGATTGTGTGCTAGTTAACCCACGATATTTCGCAACAATTTGTATCAGAGCATGGTTCGGGTTTCTACATATAATCTAGGGTTAAGATGTCTTCATCATCTTCAACAAAGTACGAAGTAGAGAAATTTGACGGGGGTTCTAGTTTTAGTCTATGGAAGATTAAGATGAAATCGTCCTTGGTGTTACAAGGGTTATGGAAGGCAATTGATGAGTATTTTCCTGAAGAGATGAAAGAGACAGAGAAAGCAGACTTGAAGGAGAGGGCTTTGAGTGTGATCTTCATGAGCGTTACTATAACGACCCGACTTGTCGTTTTAAGAATTTACGCCCCATTCACCGACTTAAGGTCCCAAGCAACTTTGTAATATGTATTATGACTTGCGTGTACGATCGAGTTTGGTTTTCGGAAGATTCGGAATTTAATTGAAAGAACGACTCTAATTTTTTAAGTTTAAATGAAAAGAGTTGATCGAAGTTTGACTTTTGAGCAAACGACTCCGGAATAGAATTTTGATGATTCCAATAGCTTAGTATGGTCTTTTGGAACTTGGGCGTATGGTCAAATTTGGATTTGAAAGTCCATAGGACAATTCGACGCATTTTTGCGAAAGTTGGAAAATATAAGATTTTTGGAAAGTTTGACCGGGAAGTTGACTTTTTAATATCGGGATCGAAATCCGATTTTGGAAATTGGAACATCTTTATTATGTCATTTATGACTTGTGTGAAAAATTTGAAGTCATTCCGGATTGATTTGATATGTTTTGACGCAAATTATAGAATTTGGTAATTCATAAACTCATAATTCGATTCGAGGTGCGATTCTTAGTTTGGATGTTG